AAATGACATAGAGACCAAAGAAAAAACACAAAAGATCAATAAAACTAAGAGCTGGTTCTTTGAAAGGATAAACAAGATTTATGGACCTCTAACCAAACTCACTAGGAAACAAAAAGAGAGGACCCAAATAAACAAAATCAGAAATGAAAGAGATAACAACTGACACCACAGAAATATAAAATGTAATAAAATACTATGAATGACTTTATTCCAACAAACAGGACAACCTAGACAAATGGACTTATTCCTAGAGAAATACAACCTTCCAAATCTCAATCAGGAAGAATCAGAAAACCTGACTGGGCCAATAACTACTGATGAAATTGAAGCAGTAATTTAAAAAAATAAAAAAACTCCCAGCAAACAAAAGCCCTGATCCAGACGGATTCGCAGAGGTGTTTTACCAAATATTCAAAGAGATAACCCCTCAACTCTTCAAACTATTCCAAAAAATTCAAGAGGAAGAAAATCTTCCCAACTCTTTCTATAAAGCCAGCATCACTCTGATTCCAAAACCAGATAAAGATGGCAAAGAAAGAGAACTACAGGCCAATATCTCTGATGAACATAGACACTAAAATCACCAACAAAATTTTAGCAAACTGGATCCAGCAATACATGACAAAGATTATACATCATAACCAAGTGGGATTTATTACAGGGATGCAAGGTTGGTTCCGTATTCGCAAATCAATAAATGTGATACAGCCCATAAACAGATTACAAGACAGAAATCACATGATTATATCAATCAATGCAGAAAAAAGAATTTGACAAAATCCAACACCCTTTTTTGATAAAAACTCTCAGCAAAGTGGGAATGCGGGAACATACCTCAACATAATAAAGGCCATATATGACAAACCTACAGCCAACATCATACTCAATGGGCAAAAACTAAAACCATTTCCCCTAAGAACAGGAACAAGACAGGTATGCCCTTTTTTACCACTCTTGTTCAACATAGTACTGGAAGTCCTGACTATAGTGATCAGACAAGAAGAAGAAATAAAAGGCATCTAAATAGGAAGGGAGGAAGTAAAACTCTCATTATTCGCAGATGACATGATACTGTACATAGAAAACCTTAAAGACTCTATCAAAAAACTATTAGCTTTAATAAATGAATTCGGAAATGTAGCAGGATACAAAATTAACACCAAAAATCCATAGCATTTTTATATACCAATAGTGAACTCTGAGAATGAGAAACTAAAACAACAATCCCATTTACCATTGCAACAAAAAAAAATTGAGATATTTAGGAATAAACTTAACCAAGGAGGTAAAAGACGTGTACTTGGAAAACTACAGGACTTTGAAAAAAGAGATAGAGGAAGACATAAACAAGTGGAAGAATATGCCATGTTCATGCATTGGTAGAATTGACATCCTTAAAATGTCCATACCACCCAAAGCAATCTATAGATTCAATGCAATCCCTATTAAAATACCAATGGCATATTTCACAGACCTAGAACAAATACTAGTACTACAAAAATTTATATGGAACCAAAAAAGACCCCAAATAGCTGCAGCAATCTTGAGAACAAAGAGCAAAGTTGGAGGAATCACAATACCAGATATCAAGTTATACTACAAAGCCATTGTACTCAAAACAGCCTGGTACTGGCACCAGAACAGGCATATAGATCAATGGAAAGGAGCAGAGGACCCAAGTCACTATGCTCATGTAATATTTGACAAAGGAGGTAAGAGCATATATTGGAGAAGAGACAGTCTCTTCAATAAATGGTGTTGGGAAAATTGGACAGGTACATGTGAAGAAAAAATGAAACTAAACCTCCAACTTACATCACACACAAGAATAAACTCAAAATGGATAAAAGACTTAAATTTAAGGTAGTTAAGTATCAGGAAGATAAAAACATAGAAAGAAACTGGAAGTCTTGTTATTAAACCATTTTCAATGTTACTTTTTTGCTACAGTATTATTTTTTGATCTATAGATTTTCATCCTTTTTTTTTGCCATTAAATGAAAGAGTAAAGCTATGTGTGGATTATAATGCAATATCTTGGACCTCATCTTCAAACTGTGGAAAAATTTTAAAGTTTTTAACTACTACATCCCAAATTTAAACTCATATGTTTATAATTCTTGCATTTATAAATACCAGTATGGTCTGTCCTCTCTTTTCCTAGGTTTTAAAGTATGGTCTGTCCTCTCTTTCCTTGTAATTCACAAGGAAAGAAATACTCATGATGCCCAGGCCTCTGTGCAAGGCAGGAGCCAATACAGGCTTTCTCAGGTCATTTGGTGAGATATTTTCAAGGCCACTGATCCAGTCTAGAGAAGGAAACTAACAGTTATTGAGTACTTCCTAGATGCTAGATACCGTGGTAAAGTACTAATATATCTGAACAACAGCTCTATGGAGAAGGCTGTGAAATCAAAGCTACAGAAAAAAGGAATTAAATGTTTGGAGAAGTGAAGCAGTGTGACAGATTGCACAGCTAATGATGGCAGGTCCATATGGGCTTTACTGCAAATGCCAGTGCTGCCCACTGGAGAAGGCTGCCCTTCTAGCAGGTGTACAGGTGTAAGCTAATGGGCTTGACAATTCTCGTTACACACATTAGTTTATTAGATTCTGGGAGGTAGGTATTGAATGAGGACACCAACGCTAGGTATGATTATGTAACTTACTATAAGCTCCAAGTGGCGGAGCTAGGTACTTATATTCATACCCAATGTTGGTCATTGCCATAATCTACAGGTGCTTCTTAGAAGTATAGGTTATCAAAAGCTAAGATTACAAGTTTTTCTGTCCATTAAAATCTTAGGGTCAATATGCATAACCTGTGGACACAGACAACAGGGTGGTGAGAGACTGGGGGGAGGGAGAGGATGGGAACGGGCTGGAAGAGGTTAATGGGGGGGCCGGGCGGGGAAAGGAGAACCTATGTAATACTTTCAGCAATAATGATTCCTTTTTTAAATGCCCAACTGGAAGGGGAAATTATAAATAAATTATGGACCAACTAAAATATGGAATATTATGCAAGCATTACATTTTATATCTGCAGAGCCTTTTTAATGAGAAAGAGATGTGTTCAAGAGATTATACTTTATAAAATATTTTCTTACACATATTATTTAATTAGTACTAAGGTTAAATATTACTAATTGCCACTGTTAAGTAGTCCTAAATAATAGCATGTCTGTAACAGAAAACTAAATAAAACAGAAAAATTTTTTTTTAAAAAAAGAGATTATACTTTTTATTAAGAACCAAAAAAAAACTATATGTGGTATGATTTCAATTTCTTTTGATGGAGAATTATATATGTGCATAGAAAAAATATATATGTGCTTTGTAAAAATACACATAGATTTTAAGAAATAAAAGAAAATCAAGCAATGGAATGATGAACATTGGTGTCAGGTTATAAGTCCCTGATTGAGAAGGGGCGCAGAGGATGGGATGGGGTGAAAGTAACCATATAGTTACATAGAGGTCATTGTCAAGGATATGGCTTTTATTTGGGGAAGTGGGTTCATGGATTCTTATCACCTAATCAAAGATAAAATGAATATAACATCATAAAAAAATGAAAATGTGGTACATATATGCAATGGAATTTTACTCAGCCATAAAAAGACACAATGAAATCTTACAATTTGCAACACCATGAATGGACCTAAGGGGTATTATGCTAAGTGAAATAAGTCAGACAGAGAAATAAATCAAATACCATATGATTTCACCCAGCTGGGGTGGCTCAGTGGTTGAGCATCGACCTATGAACCAGGCGGTCACAGTTCAGTCTCGATCAGGGCATATGCCTGGGTTGCAGGCTCAATCCCCAGTGTGAGGTATGCAGGAGGCAACGATCAATGATTCTCTTATCATTTATGATTCTATCTCGCTCACCCTCTCCTTTCCTCTCTCTCTAAAATTCAATAGAAGCATACTTTTTTAAAATAAAAATAAATAAATAAAAATACCATATGATTTTACTTACATGTGGAATCTAAAAAACAAAATAAATGAACAAACATAACAGAAACAGACTCAGATATGAGAACAAATTGAGGGTTGCCAGATGAGAGGTGGGCTGAATGAAAAAGACGAAGGGATTGAGAAGTTCAAATTGGCAGTTACAAAATAGTCAGAGGGATGTAAAGTACAGCATAGGAAATATAGTCAATAACATTATAATAACTATGTATGGTGCCAGGTGGGTACTGGAAATATTGGGGAATCACTTAATAAAGCATATGATTGTCTAACCACTATACTGTGCACCTGAAACTAATACAAAATAATATTGAATGTCAACTGAAATTGAAATAAAAATTTTAAATATACAGGCTATCAATAATGCTTGGTACCAAGTCAGTCATTTCAGGTCCAGGAAAACAACTACTTTCTGTGTTGGGACAGTTTTTTAAAAGGTTTCAGCATAATCCAGAAGCAAAAGTTAAGCCCTGCTGCTGTGGCCTCTGCATCATGCATGACTGGATGGGTTTCCTAGCTGCTCTCCCATCTTCTTAACTGCATTTTATCTGTGAAAATGCTGAAATGTTTGCCTAATGCTCTTCTCCTTGTTACCCGGAGTATGTGCAATATGCCAAAAGCATAGCTCCTACTTTTGCTCCTTCTAAAAACAGTACTAAAGTAGGGTTGGGGCACATCTCCTTTGAAGTTATTTTACTATTAATGATGTCTTTACTACAGATTTTTAGAAATATATCATTTATTAAGTGTACCCCAATCAAGTTTTAAAAAACAATATTACCCACCACACCATACAAAAGTATGTAATCAGTCTACCTATGATATAATGTACATGACGGTGAAAACAGTATGCTTTTACTACTTTTCTCATCATGTCACCAAATGTTTGGTACCAAAGGACATGAGGGCTTGAGAGTTCATAATGCAAATATTATTTCTAAGTCATGACTAGTTGAATGTGTGAAGGTGTGAGTAAATTTGGACATAAAAAAAACTAGCTTATGGTATGATTGCAGGGTGAGAGTATGGACAACTTTAACTGGGGAGTACGCAGACGATCTCTGGACAGTCTAGACAAGTGTGACATGCAGCTTCTGGAGGAGCACCAGCTTTCGGGAAGTTCTCCCAGCCTAAATAAAATGAACCATGAGGACTCTGATGAATCGTCTGAGGAGGAGGACCTGACCACCAGCCAAATCCTAGAGCACTCGGACCTCGTAAGTAAAGCTCTCCCACTGTAGGAACTGGCAGACTTGTTTTTGGAACTAAAACAGTAGCACAGTTTCCAGTTGCAGTTAAAGAAACTTCCAGAGCTGCTAAACTAAAATGTGAACCATCATGTGGTGTCAAACTGAATCTCAGTGGCCTCTTCTCTGTAAGTTGTACATGGAAGCAAATGCTGGGGTATTTGTTTTACTATTAACAATCTCTGGATGCCATCAGATCTGTTAGGGCCTAGCTTTTCCCCAAATAACTTGCATTATGCTGAAACCTTTTAAAAATTCCTCAAATATCTGAAGTTTTAGGAACTATGACAGACAGTCATTTTGATGTGGTTATCTGTAGATGTGGGTGTTTGTGTGTTAAGGGTGCTGTGCCATCACACCAGGTCACCAGCTCCCATTTTTAAGTTCCAATAACAGTGAACTATGTACATTAAACAGGACCTATCAACCAACAACTAGCTCATACAATGGTCTGTACTCTTATGGAAAGAAGAATTAGAGCTTTTGTGGAAACATCACACTGTATTTTTCTATCCTTTGCTTTGTCAACAGATCATGAATCTCTCCCCTTCTGAGGAGGTCAACCCTGTGGAATCGCTCACTTCAGCCTGTGACATGACCCCTGCTGACTCTCATTCCTTTAGCACTAGAATGGCTAGCTTTGACTCTTCTTTGCCTGATATGAATAGTCTTCAGATTTCTGAGGGTTCCAAGGTGAAGAGATTTTGGCAATTATGATTGTAATTTTCTTAAAGGAAAAGTCCTTCCAATTTTCTGAGAATTCTTACGGGTTGCATGTAGAGGATCTACCTTCATCTTTTTCTTCCTTCCTTTTTTTATGTAATTGAGTTTGTGCACCTAAGCCTATGTTTTAAGTTGTTTTGCCCTCATAACTTGAGCAGCCACTTCTTGTTGGTTGAAAGAGATTTGATAAGAAGTCTTCTAGAAATGAAACAGTCTGCATTTTCCATTCAGCATGAACACAGCTGATTAATTACTGGCAGAACAAACTGGTATATGTCTGAGATCACTGTGACTGGGAAACTGCTGTTTTCTGTCATGACTTTTATAAAACAATGTGCTGTTGAAGTGTGGGTGTGTGCATGTATTGGAGGAAATTTTTTCTTATGTAGGAACCAATTATACAATTTGTACATTGATTCAAGCCTCGCCTTTTGGCATACTATCAGAATTTTCAGTATTATGAACAAAACAGATTCACCCAAACAGCCCTAGCCAAGCTCTCTGAGGAGAAAAGTAAGTAATGAATACCATTTTCTTATTTAAATGGTCAGCTTAAAAGAAAAACCTAACAATGTATATTTAATTTAAAGCTTATTTATCAAAATTTCCAGAAAATATCCTCTCTGTAAAACTGTTAATTCCCACATTATGTTCATATATAGGGTGTCCCAAAAAATGTACACACACACTTTGAATAATTATAAAGGCATTTTTATTAAAATACATTTCATTTTCAAATTGACCTATCAGCTGTTAAAGTGTGTGTATATATATTTGTGGGACATTCTGTATGTGCTCTTCAGATTAGAATTTTGTTTTCTCATATTAGACATACCAAAATAACCTATTCCTGTTAAGATAAAGTTGTCTTTATCTTGATATTGGTCATAATAATATGTTTGAAAGAGAAAATAAAATAAGAAAAAATTTATAAAAGTATATTCTTTCTAATACTTCTAATGGAAAAAAGTCATAATGTGGGAAAATGTAATATTCTGTATTCTTTTATGGTTCACTAAAAATAGATCTGAGATCTAGGAAAATCTTACATACTTTAAACCAAGAACAACCAACCATATTGTATCACCTAAAATATTGAAGCTTAAAGAAAAATTATTTCTAAGATTGCCCCATTGCAAAGGGACTATGATCAAGGATTCTTAGAGTTAGTAGAGCCCTTTTTTATCCAAAAGGGGGGCCAGAAAGGAAATTTATTTGACATTAAAACTCCAGAATCCTAAAATTAAGAAATTAAATTTCATGGAAAAGACATCACAAAATAAGTGATGTCTTTTAAATGAAGTTATTAGCACTTGATATTTCTCATTCTTGGAATAGGCATTTTTCTATTTTTAATGCTAAGTTATATAGATTGCTCATGAAAAGCATTATCTAAATAATAATATTTTATGGAAACAGATATCATCTAATTCTATCAAGGAAAGATTGAGTTTAATTTCTGGAAAGCTATCTCTGTTTAACATAATTTGGTTTCTGCTAGGTTTTATATACCTATGATGTTACAAAGAGAAAATAAAAGATATTTTTATAAGAACTCGGGTTTCCCCTAATAGATTAAGTTTATGTACACTAATAACCCAGACCAGTCACCCATGGCCAGTCTCATTGGCACCACTCCAGTTTTAAAAAGCAGCAAGAAACAGATATGGATAAGCCTCCAAAATCCAGTATTTATGAGCAATTCTTTTAAAGACATGAGACATGCTAATTCCCTAACACATCTTTAAACACCCCTTTTAATTTCCCTATTAATCCTCAATTTAAAATACTAAATTGGTGGCAAAATGTCTATGATAATGCTCTAATTTATAGACATTTCTATTTTGCCCTGATTTTGTGTTTAAGAAAATGATTCACTGAAGCATGTATGTGTAATTTCTCTTCTCTTCTGGTCTGTAACACAGTTGTCTTCCTTCCTCTCATAAAGAAAAGTCAGTTCTATGGCTTTTTTTCCATTTTACTTGTTATGACTCCTTCCTGCCCCTCCCTGATCCCAGTTCTACCTGCCCTGCAACCCTTTAATTTTGCTGCTCATTCTACGTTTTATAGTAATGGGGAAACAGCCCTTCATACATCAGTGGATCTCAGAGGGTTTTCAGTATGGAAAGGTCTGTCAGTGTGGCAGCTCAGTGATCACTATGGGGCATTCATGCACACTGGATACATTTCTAGAACATCTACTGTACTGTAACTGAGGGTTCTAAATCCTAATTTCCATAGGTGAGGAGTTCTGTGTTGCAGAGTTATATCTGGATAGGCTGGGGTTGTTCAATGAAAAACATTCCAAATCCAGTAGTGGTGTTTCTAACCCCAGCTCCAGCTCTGATGAGATACTAGGAAAGGCCTTTCTCACATGGGGCATAATTTCCTCATTAAATGTGGAGGTCAGAACAGGGGTACTGTGGTCTTTCCAATTTTAGCCTCTGTATTCCATAATCATAGTCAAATATGATAACCTCCCAAGAGCCTCTTTGAGAACCATTGTGAAGAAGAATGAAAAGTAAAAAAAAGAATAGTACTTCAGATAGTTCCTGAGTCTGCTTATAGAAATTGATGACATTATAACTAGAAAACAAATGCCCCCAACTTCTGTCACTGTCAGCATTTCAGCTCTTTTCTTTCAGTTGAACAGACTTTCCCATATATTCTTATATATTGGGGGGGTCTTTTCTCTCTTCATTTTCCAGGCTGAAGCTGTACAGGAGGAGGAGGAGACCACCATACACGAAGATGATCTTTCTACTTCCATCAATGAACTCCCAGCAACTTTCGAATGTAGTGATAGCTTTAGTCTGGATATGACTGAGGCAGAAGAAAAAAGCAACCAAACCCTGGACCAGTTCACTCTGGCAAGGTAGAGAAGCCCTTGGCAGAAATGTGTGGTGCTATTATGTGTGGCTCGTGACTCAAGTTGAATTTCATACTCACGCTGCTGGGACCTCCTAATGAAAGAGTTCAAACTGACACATAACCTAGTGGGCTCCTAATGGGTTGGAATCATCCATCTCCAGTGTAGGGCCTACGTGAACCAAAAAGGTTCTCATGTAGGAACTTATAAAGCCACAAAGTACATGCCTACGTGAACCAAAAAGGTTCTCATGTAGGAACTTATAAAGCCACAAAGTAACAGAAAGCCAATAAGGACATGGTCTTTGTGAGCTTTGAAAATAAGCAAGATTGGCAAGCCTCAGAAATGAGGAGTTCTTTCCATTTTGAGTTGAAAGACCAGAACAAGAGGCTCTTTATAAGCTAAAAACCTGTGCTTTTTTGAGCAGATGGCTTCTAGCCTCATATTTCTAAGATGAGTGAGATATAGTCAGCGAATACAAATAGGAAAAAATTTAAAGAGGAATAGAGATGTAAATCCTAATATGGCATCTAGAATAAATCACAGGCTACGGGCTTACTTCAGGAGAAGAAAATCAGAACCCTAAAATCACTCCTCTGAACATTGAAAATAAGTAAAAGTTTCTGATGTGGCTAGACAAAGGGCTCCTGTTACAGTGGCCAGTATCCCCGCACCAAAGAGCTTATGGTAATGCCCAGAGGAGGATTTGCCTTTTAACTTTTGTTCATAATCTCTCCTTCGTTCCTCTCTGCATTCCTCTTTCCTTTCCTCCTTCCACTTTCCTTCTGGGCATTTATGCATTTGCCTTCATTAAGGAAAAGGTAAAAGATTCAAAATTTTTGTTCTAATTTTTCACAATGAAAAATCCCAAGAACTGAAAGGGCACAGAAAAGAATGTTACTGTGTCTGGAGAGTGGCCATCTAGACGCGTGAAAGAGAGCTGCTGAAGGCTGAAAGATGTACCAAATCTGTAGAAAGGAATCAGAATTGGAAGAATCACAGAAATTCTAGAAGTGAAAATTCTATTTTTTGGAATCTCAGAGACCTTTGAATGAAAGCCACATTCCCAGAGCATACTTCAAACAGAGGAATTGACAGAGTGGGACCCCTCATGAGGCTGACTCAGGAGTAGTACTTACACCACACTGTAAGGAAGGGCATCACTTCTTGACACAGTCGTTATTTCTTCCAGCTTTGGAGAAGGTGACAGGAGAGTCTCTCCCCCGCCCTCACCCTTCTTCTCGGCCATCCTTGCTGCATTTCAGCCTGCAGCCTGTGACGATGCAGAGGAAGCCTGGCGCAGCCACATCAACCAGCTCATGTGCGACTCTGATGGCTCCTGTGCTGTGTACACGTTTCACGTGTTCTCTTCCTTGTTTAAGGTACCGTGCTCACCTCAAGTCAAAACAGTTGGGCTCTCTTGGGAGCCAGCTAACTTCTCATTTAAGAAGGGATTGTTGTTTAGTTCTGGGTTTATACTATTTTCTCCTCCAAACATATTCTCTCTCTCTCTCTCTCTCTCTCTCTCTCTCTCTCTCCTCTGACTTCATCCTTTCTTCTGTTCAGCCTTAATCTACTTAACCTTCTCACACTGGTATTGTGAAGATCTTGCCCTCAAATGACCAGGGGGGTGAGGGCATGAGTGAGGGTTGAGGGAGCAATGGGGGGATAAGGACACATATGTAATACCTTAATCAATAAAAAAAAATGACTTAGTCTGCCATGATGTCCTGCTCACTTCTGACATTCTGGCCTTTATTGGTGCCATGAATCCCAAGCCACCATGATATCAGGACCATTAAGTGAAATCTTCCTCCAAGCCTCTCCCCTATTTCTGCTTTTCTCTGAGACCTCTCCTGCACCTTTTTTCTTTGTGTTTTTCCTTTCTTTGTCTTTTATCCACCCTATGAATTCCTTAAACATGCTAGGTGTGGCTATGAACACTTGCTTATTTCCTTTAGCTGATTCTAAACAGATGGAAAGTCATCATTTGAGTCTGCTGTGTGAACCACAGCCCATCTAGTCCATATAATGCCCTTGTGCAAATTGGAACCAATGTCCCTCCCACTAGAGTCTAGTAGACTCTAGTGAGGTTTGCAGTACCAGATGTGGCCAGCAGGGAGTGGGAAGGCTGGATTTCACACACACACACACACACACCAGCCAGGTACCTGGGGGTCTTGGACACACACAGCTATATGTAAGCGTCTCTTGTGTGGGCACCTTCAGATTCAACTTGTTAGCTTCAAGCACATTTAAAAATGACTCAACTACAGAGATGGCAGGAACTCAACTTCTGGTTGGTGCTTAAAAGTTTATTTTTATGGCTACCTGTCTCTGGTCTTGCAAAATTTTATTTGTCTTGCTCTGAACATTTACTCTCCAATTTTCGTCAAATGTTGGCAGAGGTGGGAGACAACCGAAGAAGAGAAAAGTTGCCTTCTTAGGAAGAAACTCAAAGGTCTTCAAGCATCATTGTAGTTAACTAGCCTTGTGTGCTGTGCTTGAAGCAGATATTGACTCAGCCAGGAAGATGAGGTCATAGTTGAAGATTTACTGACATGGAAACATGGTTACCATATAGTTTAAAAGAAAACTGGTGTTAAAATATATATAGAATACCGATCCTCTTTTTAATGCCTAGAAAATAATGAAGATTATACACTAGCATTTCATTGTAGTTTATTTGGGGTAATAAGATTATGGTTGTTTTTTATTTTCTTATTTTTACTTTATTTCAAGTTCCTATTTTCCTATAATCAAAATGCTTTTCTTGAATTATTTTCAGAAAAGCATTTTTCTTAACTTTATTTTTAATAATGCATAAAACAGAACTGCCACTGATAATACATGGAAAATAACTATGCAGTTCCAACTTTGAATGGACATGAATAATTGATAGATAAGTGGGGACACGAGTTAGAACCCAAGTAAATATTGTTAGATGTTGAGTTCTGTAGAGTATATCAGAGACAGGGACAATGACTTGTTTAGACTCAAGGATGAGCCCTCTGACCAATGGCAGGAATATAAGGAACTATATTAAAAGTGCAAAATGAATAAACTGGGATCATCTGCCTTAAATCATTTTAAATTCAAGAAGTTGTCATTTAGTTAATATAGAAGTGAAGTCTGTTTTTCAGCCCAGAGGCCCTTTATATGACCCATTTTTTGTAAATTTTAGGCCGTGGTTACTCACTGAGTGTTATTTGTGCTGCTGTCTCTCAAGTTTTTCAATTTACTTTCAGTGGAACCTATAAGAAGTTTAAGTGGACAAACGAAGATTGTGTCTGAGATTAACTGGGGACTGTAAGAGCTGCCAGGCTTAAGTCAGAAAACAGTTGGCTGCTTAAAGATAAAAATTCCTGAAACACCCTAACATTAAACCAGATTGAAATTTAAAAAAACAAATGACCAGAAAGCTACCATTTGAGGTCAATTTCATTGTTAAGAGTTCAGAAGCAAAGTAATTTCTTATTTAGATTGTTCTAAAGTGTATTTTTAAGTAATGGTTAATAATGCATATCTGAGTTTGACTGTTGTAGTAACTTTGTCTTATTATAGTTACTAGACTATTCATGCTCAATTTTATAGTCCTGAGCAATACTTTTCTCTCTGCTTAGAGAAGTCATCTCCTTTTGTACCTGAACTATCCTCCAGATTACATGCAAATCCCTGGTTCTTCGTCATTTCAGTGAGTGAAGCCTCCTTATGTCTTTGACTACCCAGTAGCTGGCACCTTCACTAGCACACAATATGTGCTCAGTAAATGTATTAGATGAATCCTCATGGAGTTTATCTGCAATGATAATACAAATGTGTACCTCCTGTTTTGGTTTTAATATTACATATAGCCGTAAGAACTTTCTTAACTACTATCAAATACCATGTGATTGAGAGCAATAAGAGTATCAAAATGTGCTAGAATTGAAATACATTTCAAACATGGAATCTATTAACCTCTTGTCATGTCCTCACCATGTCTGTCTACTATTTTCCAACATTTTCCTGTGTATATGAACACCACATTTTCCTGTATTTCAGTGGTTTTTGGAGGAAACAGAGAGGAAGTAATTGCAAAAAATAATTTGGTTTTAAAAGCAAGGAAATGGTTTCTAATGATCCAGTTTGGACATCTTCCCAAGTGTCTTGGTCAGTATATTTCCTTCCAGCTGCTCCTGTGTTAGAATATTGTCATTGCATCACCCAGTGCCACCAAATTATAGGATGTGTTCAGATGAAAGTCAGGAGGACAAAACTGAATTTATGTCCCTTAAATAGCACCTGCCTTTTTATGTGGCTCTAAAGTTCCCTGGAAGATCCAGCTTCTCAGTACAATAAACAATAAATCCAGATTTCACCTTATCCATAGGTAAATTGAGAACCCCAAACTGTTTGGGGGACCTGAATCCCACTCCCAGTTCTGCCACTATACTAGCTGCTGTGATGCTAGACATGGCATCTCCCAATACTTTCTGCTTTAACATTCGGTCAGAGTTTTTGTTTTTGTTTTTGTTTTTGTTTCGCACAGAAAGTTAATGTAACAAAATAAAGACAGATATATTTTTTGTTTTGGTTTTTGTTTCACACAGAAAGTTAATGTAACAAAATAAAGACAGATATATGTTATGTATTATACCAGAATTTCTAGATAGAAAAAATAAATAATATGCAACATGGTTGGCATTTACCTAGTATAACTTATAAAGAACCTGCTGTGGCTTTGGGGACATGCAAATTTTTCCATAACCAGGAAGATCAGCTTTACCATGGATGAGATTCTACAACTCAAAAAGTATGAGATCTCTTTGGAGAAAGTCAATGCTTAGGATTGGAATTATTTTTTCGTTAATTATTCTATTCTTTTGGTTAAAGATATTGTGTGTTAGATATTAGGAGACTAAAAATGTTCTCATTGGGGCACTGACACAGCACAGTGAATCAGACTTTTTCTAATTAAATTTTTTTCTCAGGCAATACAGGAGGAACCATAACTTTTAGGAAGTGTTACACATTTCTGGAAGAAATGTGAATGCTGGAGTCAGGCTCACCCTTATACTATTACTTACTAGTTGCATGAGCTTTAAGAAAGTAACTTCACCTCTTTTAACCTCAGTTTCATCATCTGGTTGTGAGGACTAATGAGTTCATGTAGACAGTGCTATAGGACAGAGTTAGGCACTTACTCAGACACACTCCCAGGGGAGATATTATTCTAGGTCACAGGTAGCATTTACTCCTTCCTGCTCCAGAAGCTTAAATGGCACTATTTCAGCTTTGTCTCAGGGAGCTGTGACCTTGGGAAACAGAAAGGAGTTCCATTTTATAACCTTTTTATCTCACCCACATTGATGTAACCTGAATAAGTCCTTAATGATCTGACAGACAAGCAAGGAGGACCTAGATGCTGATCAACACTGGCCACCAGCGTAAAGGAAACCCACACTTATTGGAATGACTCTATGAGCATCTGCATGTTGGGAAGTGATATTTTAGGAATAATCTTTGTCCATATTGCATGATTATTTACTTCACACAAATTTTCACTCTATTACCATTCCTCCCTGTCCACACTCACTCAGGACCTAGGCTCATTTGACAGTTTTTATCAATTTTAAAAAAAAAAGTCTAGTCCATAAGTTAAACCTTTACAAATAATAACTATTTTGCCTTTCAGAATATTCAGAAAAGGTTCTGCTTTCTAACCTGTGATGCGGCCAGTTACCTTGGAGACAACCTCAGGGGGATCGGGTCCAAGTTTGTCAGCTCCTCCCAAATGCTCACCTCATGCTCCGAGTGCCCCACACTTTTCGTGGATGCTGAGACTGTGAGTGTCCCAGTCCTCTGGAGGCCAATGGCCTGTCCAGATTCTGGTGTGGATGACAGAGGGGTTTGTTAGTGTTGTGGTTTGTCTGAGTGATACTTTCATTGCTTCTGAGCAGCAGTGGGTTGTGATGTGATTCCCAAAGGCTGAAGTGGGCACAGTAATGAAGGTGCAGTGCCAGCCAAGCCAAGGCAAGTCATTTCAGATAATCAAAAGAAAGCTCCAGGTCAGAGGAATGGTAGCATGAGAGAGCCGCTTGGCCACTCCCCCTGAAATTTCAACAAGTAAACCAACTATAATTCAACAAAGAATTATCTGCTCAATACAGAGGCACAGCTGAGAGACCAGTGCATTGAAACATCTAAAAGTGGACAATTGGAGTAAGCAGGGACACGAGAAGGGAGGAAAGCTCTGATGGCCCACAGACACAGCCTTGAGGCTGGGAGCTCACGGCCCATCCTGAAGAGTGGAGGAAACCAGTGGTAGCAGGCACTTCCTTCGGCCAGGTGGAACAGAGAGCTACAGGGAGAAGTCCAGCAGGGCAAGCTATGAATGGAGTAAAGAGTGACTGAGGCAGCAGATGCCTGACAGAGCATGGGGTTTTGCCATGTGACTTTCCACTGTTGGGCTGGGAAGAGTTGTTTCAGACAAAAAAAAAACAACAGAACCACAGAGCCTTGCCACCACTTGTACTCCCAAAACTTGCCTCCCATTGTCCTTGGTATTGGGTCAAAGAGCATATTATCTGTAAACCAAGAACTATTTCAGTACAAGGACTGTTTCCCTCTGTGACTAATCTCCAGGTGGAGTGCTTGGGTTGGGACCCCATGGAGGTCAGGGGTCACCATTATGGTGAAGGCAAAACAAAACCTATCCCCAAGCAGCACTGCTGTACTATCTTATGGAAGCCATGGAGATCCAAACTGCGACATCACAGAGGTAAAAAATCTTGCAATTAAGCACAATTTACTGGAAAATAATATACAGAGATATATGCATAGGCAAAGGAGAACAGCAAATACCATGAACAACCACAGTAATGAGGATAACCAGAAAGAAAATGAAAAATCCCCAGAAAGCAAGCTGGAACATATGGAAATATGTGATATAAATGACAGAGATTTCAAAATTGCCGTTTTGAAAATACTCAACAAGATGCTAGAAAATACACACAGGCAATTCAATGCACTCAGAAAACAAATCAATGAACAAAACGAGTACTTTACTGAGGAGATTGGAACTTAAAAAAAAAACAATTAGAAATCCTGAACTGAAGCATACAATTAAGGTGATTAAGAGTGAACTACTGAGCATAGAAAACAGAGCCAAGCAAGTGGAGGAAAGAATAAGTGATATCAAATATATCTAGAAAGGAAATGACAAAGAGGGAAGAAGAAAGAGACCTGAGCATAAAGAAAAATGAAAGAGCTCTATGAGGACTGTTTGACTCCATCAGAAAAAGCAATATGAGAATAATAAGCATTCCAGAGGAGGAAGAGAAGGAGCAAGGAACAGAGAGTCTATTCAAACAAATGGTGGATAGGAACTTCCCAAATCTATGAAAAGAACTAGATCCTCAAATCCAAGAATGAAACAGAACACCTAGTTACATCAATCCAAAGAGGCCCTCTCCAGTTTGTATTAAAACTGTCAAAAATTAATGACAGAGAAAAAATTAAATTCTCAAAGCATCCAAGGAAAAGAAGGAAGTGACCTACAAATGAAAACCCATCAGAATTTTATCCCACTTCTCAGCAGAAACTCTATAAGACAGAAGAGAGTGCAACCAAATATTCAAATGTCTGAAAGAGAGAAATTACCAACCATGAATAATATGAAGGAGAAATAAGGTGCCCCCAGACATAGAGAAGCTGAGGGATTTTATCACCAGAAAACCTCCATTGCAGAAATACTCAAGGGAGTTATTTTACCTAAAACAAAGAAATAAGGTCACAACACTACTAGTAAGATCACCAAAAAACTTGCAGCATAAACAGGGATAATTTGCAACAACAAGAACACGAAAGGGGAGGGGATTAAGTTCTGAACTGGCAAAGGAAGATGAAGATCAAATGCATTCAAAAGGGAAAATACTACAGTATATATGCAACTTTATTTTTTGTAAACCTAATGATAACCACAAACAAAATCCCCAAACCAGGACATACAACTTAAAAAGAAAAAAAAAGGAAACAAAGGAAAGAAATATGAAATACCACCAAACAAAAACAACACTCAGAAACACAAAGGAAAAGAACCAATGGAGGCACGGAACTAGGAGGAAGCAACATATAAAATGGCTATAGGAAATTTTCATACATCAATAATTACCCTAAATGTAAAAGGTCTAAATTCACCAATAAAGAGGCACAGAGTAGCAAAGTGGATCAAAAAACAAAACCCAACCATATGCTGTCTATAAAAGACACATCTAAGCTGCAAAGACAAAGGCAGATTCAGTTAAAGGGTGGACTTTTCTAAGCAAATAACATCCACAGAAAAGCATATGTAGCCATAGTTATATCAGACAAAATAGAATTAAAGATAACAAGAGACAAAAATGAACACTTTATAATGATAAAGGGAACACTACATCAAGAAAACATAACACTTATTATATGCACCAAACCAGGGAACACCAAATATATAAAACCACTACTCACAGAACTAAAGGGAGAAACAGATCAAAACACAATCATAGTTGGGGATCTTAATAGTCCATTGACAGTTCTATACAGATCAACAAAACAGAAAATAAATAAAGAAATATTAGCCTTAAATGAAACACTGGACCAAGTGGACATAATTGACATTTACAGAACTTTTATCCCAGAACATCAGATAGAATGTATAATTCTTCTCTAGTGCACATGGAACATTCTCAAAGATAGACCTACATCTTTGATGAATATAATGCAAAAATCCTAAACAAAATACTAGCAAATTGAATACAATAGTACATCTAAAAAATAATACATCACAATCAAGTGGGGTTCATTCCAAGAGCACAAGGATGGTTCAACATATGCAAATCAATCAACATAATACACCACATTAACAAAAGAAAGGACAAAAATCATATGATCTTATCAGTAGATGCAGAAAAAACATTTGATAAGATACAACATCCATTTATGATTAAAACACTCAATAAAATAGGAATAGAAGAAAGTACCGCAACATAATAAAGGCCATATTTGATAAGCCCACAGCTAATATCATACTCAATGGTGGAAAACTGAAGCTTTTCCTCTAAGATCAGGAATAAGACAAGGAGGTCCACTCTCACCACTCTTATTCAATATAGTGCTGGAAGTCCTAGCCAAAGCAATAAGGCAAGAGAAAGAAATAAAAGGCATCAAAATAGGGAAGGAAGAAGTCTAACTGTTACTCTTTGTGGATAACATGATTCTGTATATGGAAAACCCTAAAGACTCAACCAAAAATAAACTATTAGAAAAATAAACAAATACAGTGAAGTAGCAGGATACAAAATCAATATACAAAAATCCATTGCCATCCTGTATACTAACAACAAAACAGAAAAAGAGATGAAAAAACAATATCTTTTGCAATTGCAACCAAAAGAATAAAATACTTAGAGATAAACTTAACAAGAACATGAAAGACCTATATACTGAAAATTACAAAGCATTATTAAAAGAGATTGAAAAAGACACAACAAAATGGAAAAATATCCCATGTTCATGGATTGGAAGAGTCAGCATAGTTAAAATGGCCATATTACCCAAAGCAAAAAATATATTTAATGCTATCCCCATCTATATCCCAATGTCATTTTTGAAAGAAATAGAATGAGAAATCATCAGATTTGTATGAAACCACAAAAGAACTCAAATAACAAAAGGAATCCTGAGGAAAAAAAGAACAAAGCTGGAGGTATCACACTACCTGACTTCAAATTATATTACAGAGCTATGATAATTAAAACAGCATGGTATTGGCAGAGAAACAGACACACAGATCAATGAAACAGAATAGAGAGCCCAGCTTTAAAACCACATGTATATGGACAGATAATTTTTGACAAAGGAGCCAGAAACACACAATGGAGTAAAGATACTCTCTTCAATAAACAGTGCTGGGAAAACTGGAAAGCCACATGCAAAAGAGTGAAACTAGATTACAATGTGTCCATGTGTACAAAAATTAATTTAAAATAGGTCAAAGACCTAAATATAAGACCTGAAACAATAAGTTACATAGAAGAAAATATAGGAACCGATATTGGTAATAGAGAACATTTGATGAACTTGACCCCAAAGGCAAGGGAAATAAAGGCAAAAGTAAATGAATGGGACTATATCAAACTAAAAAGTTTCTGCACAGCAAAAGAAGCTCTCAACAAAACAAAGAAGCAGCAAACCAGATGGGAGATGATATTTGCAAACAGTAGCTCCAACAAAGGTTTAATTTCCAAAATACATAAAGAACACATAAAACTCAACACCAAACAACCCAATCAAAAAGTGGACAGAGGACCTGAAAATATACCTCTCCAAGAAGACATACAAACAGCCAATAGATATATAAAAAGATGTTCAACCTCACTAGCAATTAGGGAAATGCAAATCAAAACTACAATGAGATACCACCTTACACTAGTTAGAGTGGCTATTATCAAGAAGACAAAAAATAACAAGTGGTGGAGAGGTTGTGGAAAAAATGGAACCCTCATTCACTGCTGGTGAAAATGTAGACTGGTACAACCACTATGGAAAACAGTCTGGCTTTAGATTTAGAGCTACCATACGACCCAGCAATCCCTCTCCTGGGAATATACCCGAAAAACTCAAAATCACATATTCGCAAAGATATATGCACCCCTCTGTTCATTGCAGCATTATTCAGGGTGGCCAATACATGTAAACAACCAAAGTATCCTGCAATAGAGGACTAGATAAAGAAGATCTGGTATATATACTAATACACAATGGAATACTACTCAGTTATAAGAAAGGATGAAATAGCGCCATTTGCAACAACATGGATGGACCTTGAGAACATTATGCTAAGTGAAATAAGTCAGTCAGAAAAAGCTAAGAATTATATTATTTCACTCATATGTGGGATATAAAACTGACACTTGTGAACACAATCAGCAGTGTGGTAGTTGCCAGAGGGAAGGGAGTGGAGGTACAAAGAGGGGTCCTAATATAAGGTGACAGGAGAACATTTGACTTTGGGTGGTGGGCACATAGTGCAATATTCAGAAACACACATGGAGTAAAGATAGTCTCTTCAATAAATGGTGCTTGGAAAACTGGAAAGATCTTGTAACATAAAAATCCACACCTGAAATTTATATGATCATGTCGACCAATGTCACCCCAATAAATTTTTTTAAAAAATAGTTTCACCTCTCTCTGATGACTCTGACTTTGACAGCTATGAATATGGTGAGTGATCCCTCCAGAGCTGACCTAGCCTATCCCCACAATGCTAGGTTGCCCAGCCAGATGGGTCTCCAGAGGCAGCATGTCATTATTTTCCTCACACCCAACCCTCAGCAAGACTCTAACTACCCTCTGGATGCATTCATCCAGCCCAAGCAGCAAGGGATGAGTTTAAAGTGTGGTTAAAATAATACCTGGCTGAGTGCTGAGTGTTGACTTTATGAACATAACTTTAACCCTGAAAGACTGGTGAGCTCTTTGGGGTTAGGGGTTAGGGGGTGTTAACTTCTTGTACATCTCCCATGCATATCACAGAACCATCTTGTATGCTGGGTAATTACTGGGGTTTAGAACCAATGAGGATGTGTTTTGATTATGAAAGTCTGAGGAGTCAGTATTTCTAAGAACTTAATTGGTGGTTGGCTGTCTTGCAGCAAGGCATACAATTGGAAAAATCATTCTATCTTAATAACTCAAAGTACAGATTAAACACAAAATCAGTTTGAAAGGCTATTTAGAGTTCTGTCTTCACACTACATGGCATATTACTGGATGAAGATACTAATGTTCATGCATAAAATGGACAGCATATCTTAATGTGGGCTTCTGTAGAATACTTGCTAAGATTTCTCTGTCTATACTGATATGGGAAAAATGGATATTTTCATATTGCATTTGAATTAGCAAGCTAGTATTCAATTGCAATTGCAGCAAAATTACAAATTGCACAGCTTACTAAAATGGGTGCCCTTTCCCCCATTTACATCACTTCTAAGTATACCTGTCTTTTCTTTTTGTAAAATATGTTTTTATTGAATTATTTTAGATAGAGAGACAGAAACATCAATGAGAGAGAAACATCAATTGGCTGCCTCCTCTACACCCCTTACTGGGGATGAAACCCACAACCCAGGCATGTGCCCCAACCAGGAATCAAACCAGTGACCTCTTGGTTCATGAGTTGACATTCAACCACTGAGCTATACCAGCTGGGTCATATACCTCTCTTTATCTATCTGTATAGCCATGCCTTGTCCAGATATATCTCTACTGTTTTAATACAAATTATTTTTCTGTCTTTAGCTTCTTTCTTGTGGACTTCTGGACAAGCTCAAGTTCAGTGTTTTAGAACTGCAAGAATATCTAGACACCTACAACAACAGAAAAGAGGCCACTCTCTCAGTAAGTGTTGTGTTTCTGTGTGTGTGTGCATTCCATTAAAACCAAATAAACTGGCCACAGTGAGCTTCTGGGAGGGATTGGTATTAACCTAAGAGAGGTACTTCAACTTCATCTATTCCTCTGCTAGGGATTAAAATTCCAATTCAATGGTGGTAGAACTGTCAATATTGTGGATTATATAAAACTAGTGGCCCAGTGCACGAAATTCATGCATAGGGTGTGTGTGTGGGGGGGGGGGGGTCCCAAAGCCCAGCCTTCACCCTCGCCAATCTGGGACCCCTCAGGGATGTCCGACTGCCGGTTTAGGCCCACAGGGATTTGGCCTAAACCAGCAGTCGGACATCCCTCTCGCAATCCAGGACCACTGGCTCCTAACCGCTCACCTACCTGCCTGCCTGATCACCCCTAACC